ACTGTAAAATTGATGGACATTAAAGTGCAAGTGTAACTGACTGCTGTGGCGTAGTTGTTGGAAACCTATCCAGGAAGTAGGGTTAGGTATTGTTTTAGCAGCATGCTAAATCAGCAGATAGCCTATGCTTAGCACCAGTCAGTAACATGAGTGATTCTTTGCAGATACACTGGAAAGCAGAGCACTACGAACATGGTGATCCTGTATATCAAATTGCTCTCTGGACATGTCCCAGACCCAGAGTCTTATAACAAGGTGACTTATGACGTTTTACTCACAGGAATTTTGTAAGAATTCCCACAGTGAGAGTGAAGATGACTGAACTAAACATTGTCTTTTCACAGCTCAAAGGTGCCGAGCTGGTGGATCGTGTTGAACAAAGGGAAGATCATGTTGTGGTGTACTTACGAGAGGTGAGAAGACATCACAGTGAGAAATACCAGATGATGATCTTTGTACTTGTTAACGAGTCCGTTGTGTCTTTTCCTGTGCAGTTAGTGAAGGACACACCCGTAGAACACAGCTTGGACCTCACAGAGGAGTACCCAGTGGAAAACCTGAAGCCTGCTGTGGTCATACTCTATGACTACTATGAGCCAAGTAAAACTCGAGCACAGCACACCAACACATGTTGCTCCTTAGTGGAGCTGCACAACAAACTGAGCAGTTAACAGGACTTGAAGCACTGAAGTTTTAAATGTGTTGGACATGTAAAGAGAGTCACCCTCAGTCTTTTTACAGGCTCTTTTTTTCTCTCAGGTAACCGGGCTGAAGATGAATACCTCTATCCACACTATGAAGGTCAGCAGTCTGAGAGTGGATTCTTCTACCCGTGAGGTAATACTTCAGAACTACAAACAGGAACACCTACAGGAAGCCTTTTTTTGCCTGTCCAACAAATGTGCACCAATTTGACAATAACCTGATATTTTAATACAGTTTTTCAGGTAAATGAAAAAGCAACAAATAATTACTGTAGCTTCACTAAATTATTGCTTCTTTTGCAGCTTGAAGAGAGAAACCCTGACGTCATCACCAATTTCAGAATAATTTCACATCCTTTGGCTTTTACCATATTTTTTTGTGCCACACTTAACATACAGCTGTGTATGTATTGCACATATTCAGCATGAAATGAATGCATGATGGAAATATAATAAATTGATCTGAATTCTGCTCTTAAAAGTGGTCTCTGTTCTTCCATGTTTTCATCAGCTGTGACAGTTTCACATCATGTATTTAATCCATATGCCAATAAACTCAATGGTGCAAGTTGGTGGATTGGGGAAAGTACAAATGCAGATATTTCCTGAGTTTTCATCAAGAGGAGTAAGGTGCTAACTTTTTTTTATGTTGCAGTCAACTTGCAGTGTTTGTACAAACATGCTGCTAACCTGTACCATTATGGACTGATTCTTACATAGCGCTTTTCTACTCTCCTGGAGTACTCAAAGCACTATACAACACACCCATGCAGACTGGGGGAGCCAGGAATTGAACCATCAACCTTCCAATCAGCAGATGATCTGCTCTACCTCCTGAGCTACAGCCACCTAGTTTTTCACTTCTGGTACAGGGTTTTCACACCTGCAACTTTGGTATCAGGTGCCTTTTATGCCTATGCCCAGTGGATCCACGCGGTTTGACATAACACTATAAACA